TTTGAATTATTCTCCATATCAGAAAAGGATGATTATTTGGGAAGGCACACCTATTTCATAGCCAAATAGCCTGATATTTGACCAAGTCTCCTCCTGTCCTGTGCAAAGGTGCTAAAACCCATCTGCTACTTGGCATCTTTTATGAGGAATGAATGACTCTTCCAGACATACTTAAGTCCATTAACCAGGCCTTGAGCTGTTATCAAAGAAGTAATCCCATCCCCAGAAACCCAAAAACAATTGTGGTTTTGTCTTTGCAAGTCTCATGACATTCGCTAGGAATATTTAGCTCTGCTGTCTCAAGTGATCACTGATTTGCCAGAAGAAACAAAATCTCTCTGCCATGAGAGGATTTAGTGAGTATAGCTGTTTTTTGTTTAAGTATAATTTTAAATATAATTTTAAGTATAATTGCTATGACCCTCTCTAAAATAACAATACATGCTGGGCACATCTAACTTTCAGCCTAGTTCCTGGATTTTCACTACTTACTTTTTCCCAGGAATAGATGTAGCCATCAATATTGAGAACTGGCAAGACATAGAGGTCTAAATTCTGCAGAAATCTATTTATCTTTGGGTCAGTTTTGTAATTTTGAAGAATCTGAAAAGAAAAAATACAGAGCACTGGGCAGAGAATTTAGTGGTAATCACTGAAAAGAGCTAGTTTAGAACTATCATCAAGTGATCACTCACTCCTGGATATCACCATGGAACCCAACATCTACTTGATCTCCAGTGGGCCAGGTACTTTCTATACACATGGAACATTGCTATATCATAGATTAGGGTTTCTTTATTTCAGGAGGACTGTGATTTTTGGTGCAGAGAGGCTTGATCCAACAGCACTGTGGGAAAAGAAGAGGATTTACCAAGTTCTGGAAGGCTTTGGAAATATTCAGGTGGACAAACTGGCGCATCAATATTGTCCCATATTTCAAACCATGATTTGGACTTTGGTCTCCACAGACATCTGTACTGTAATTTTTCAAATCACATTTTAACAGAAAAGCATAATTCTTGGTACCACAATAGGAAAGAGAACTGAAGTGTCAAAAGTGATATGGTTTTCTTATTATTTAAATGGAAGAGTAAGGACTCACTTCTTTTACAAACCACTGACAGAAGGCTGGAGAGATCCATTCTCTGGCATGAATCCCACAGTCCATCCAAATTATCTTTTTGGGTTCATTTGATGGTTGGCTGATCTGAGAGAACGTAAATATGATAATTTAAAAACTGTTACATTACAATAAAATAGCTTAATGTAATACAAAAAAGTAAAAGATGTGCCTTGATATGCCATTGAGCCATCTAAAGTACTATTATTATTATTATTATTATTATTATTATTACTACTACTACTACTACATACATCTTTATGACCAGCTCTTTTTCCAAATAACCCCATCTCTATAATATCACAAGGCATGAGTTTTAAAGCATTTCTTGAGCAGGAGTGTCAATAGAACAGTTAATAGAACAGTTCAATTTTTTCCTTTTTCATTTGTATTCTTCATTCACAGGAGTGCTTGCTCCTAGTTGAAGATTTTTAAATTATTTTTTTAGAAAGGGAATAACAAAAAGGTAGGGAATCTACCTACTCAGTGATAGGAACAAATTAGACAATAACTAACCCAAATATTAAGACTATGGGTTTTGCCAGTGTGTCCAATTTAAAAAAAAGTCATGGAATATTGCTAGCAGAAAGGCTATCTGCTGTAAAAAGTAATAAAAATAACAAACCAAAAGTCTTTATCCTCACACACCGCTGTTGCCAAGCTAGTTTTAGATTGATTTGTATTTCTAAACAAGGCTTCAGTTAAATTTGTTTTTTTCAGTACATAATAGCAATAGCAAGCTCATAATGATAGTGTCTGTGAGAGTTGGCAAATCTTACCATAATGTGGAGGAGTAAAACCATCTTCTGTTCAGTGAATTGGGATGAATGCTATCTTAGGAAACATCTGAATCCTGCCTTCTCCTGAGTACTTTTTTTGTTAAGATATATTCTATTATTAAGGGAAATTTCCTCCCTTACCTGTAGGTAATACATTGCTCGATTCTCAAATGTCTTCCCCAGGAAGTGCTGAGTCACCAGCTCACTGTTGTTCTTCTGAATCTGAGTCATCCACTGATAGATCTGAAATAGTTGCAAAGAATTCTTGGTCCAAAGTAGGAGTTTCCTTCTCTTCCCCACTTCCATTTCCAGCTTAAAGCATTTTCTTTTTTTTGGACAAGCAATATTTCCCTCAGAATTTATTTCAGTCTGTCATTCACTTACAGGCATGGAAGGTGTTTCACATGCCTCCGTGCAAAGGCATGGCCATATGTCACTGGGTGTTAAAAGAGAACATTTCTGCAATATAGCAATGGATACTCCATTCTGGATCTCATTCAACACGCCCATCCTATTGGGCATCATCTTGTTGAGTGCACCAGACAAGAAGCTACATCATCAACTCTTCAAAATAGTATTGCAGTCTCTTCCCTGTTAGCACTGATTTTCCACATCTGAGTCAGCAGCAGTCATCCTCAATGGGTAGCTCAAGAAAAACATATGTGAGGGTTGTCTCTGTTCTCTCACTTTTATTATGCAGCTAGGAGAAAGAATTACCACTATGCTCTGCTTTTCTCCACGTTTGCCAACTGGTGCATGAAACATGGCACTAAGAAACCATCACTGCCTACCC